ACCGGAATGTCATTTCACGCAAGTTTTCATGTTCTTTTATAGGGAAAAATTTGATATTCGTTCATTATTTTTTGAGTTTTAAGAAATGAATCATGAATAAAATGCGAAAGATACCAGTCATAATCCCTATAAAAGAAAATGAAAACTTGCGTGAAATTACATTCCGGTGACTATCTCAGGAGCGGCTAAATGCTGACCGACGTGCACAGTTTATTTGCTTTATTTTTCATCAGAGGGCGCAGCTACTGCTTAATAGTGTCAATTGTCGAATAAATAAAAAAATTTGAATTTATTGTTGAATGTTGAAGTGTATTATCAACACGTGCAATAAACATTTTTATATATGCCTGGTTGAATGTTATGGGATCACCAAAATATTATTTATATGGTAATGGTCATGTACATTGGGCATGGAAAATAATCTACAAAATTAAATATTCTGAGAGGAGTTTGTGCATATATAAGACATTCAAGTATTTGTAATAGGAACAAAGTCAAAGGGAATTTGATTTTAATTGAGTTTTGTGCTGATAATAACATATTAGAATTTGGACAATACTTTAAACAATATTATGGAAATAATTATAAATATTGGGATTTATATTTCCATAAAAATTTTGGAATTATAACACAAATATATAATATATTATGTATATAGAGGCTATGACTAAAGTTATAAAGTACAGTCATTAAGAGGGTAGGAGTTGTTAGTAGATAGGATAAAGGATTGAATACTGTTTAGAAATTTAAAAGAAAAGTTATTGATTAAAAAAAAAAAAAGGTAAAACCAAAAATAAAAACTAATATAATAAATCGCCATAGACTCGCTCTTCTCTCTAAGTTAAGTAAAAAGACAACCTCAACCTCGACATATATTGTAGCAGATAATAAAAATAAAATTTTCAAATGAGATATGTAAGTTGACTGGTATTTTTTGTCTTATGTATACATTGTTTTAACTGTACTTGTTTAGATTATTTAGGACAAAATACAATATGCAAACATATTTATTTAGTATTGCTACATTATGCCAGAGATAACAATTCTGAAGAAATTGACCGTAAATATGAACCAAATAAATGTGATGAAGACAAGGCTGAAGTAAATACACATTTAGAATATTTTGGACAAAATATTTCAGCAGATGCAACGAGTTAAGGCACATTAAAAAATTAAATAAAAAATCAAATTTAATGATATATGCAGAGAAAATTAGAAAATTACTCTGACGAAAATGTTCTCGGGTTCTTCGGGTAAATAATAAAATGCTAATAAAAAACAAGTGGATCACCTCAACAAAAAAGCAGAAGGGCAATAATTACAAAAAATCAAACAAATGAAAATACAATAATTGTATTTTCATAATTATTAGAAGTAGGTACTCTTAGAAGTTTCTTTATTTATTAGTAAGAGTAGTGGCAATGATCATAATTATTTTTACTTCTAAATTATATAAGAATTTTATATATTATGTATTTATTACATAAAAAAACTGTTATTTATATATTTTAATATATCGTCTATAATGATTTTAAGTGTTTTTATATGATACTATCAATTCCCAAGACTATTATTTAAATTATACTAATAAATTTGTAGTGATTTTATTTGTCAAAATACCTAAATTAGTGAACTACTGATACTTATTATTGGTTATTTTATTTATTCCCACCAATAAAATGCATAATTATTGGATTATTTATCAACTCATATCTAGCTCAGAATATAACAACAATAAAATATAATAATTTAAAATACAATTTTTGACGCACTGTATGATGTGTAAGTCAAAATTATTCATTAATTTAAAAAAACGCGCTCAAATACACGCTCTCTAGCGGAAAACATAAGAAACAATGTGTGCACGGCGGTCAGGATTTAGCCGCTCCTACAATCTCCGACGAGTCGCCACCTTTTTGGGATTTCGCCGGCGGATCGCCAGCGAATCGCTGGCGATACGCCGAAATGAATCCCTGGCGAGTCGCTGGCGGTGGACTATGCATACGGCTGTCAGATTATCCAATAAATTGAACCATCGTATTGGGGTCAGGAAACTGTCAATATTTAATATAAAATTTTGTTTTTGCGGAAAAAAACAGAACAAATTGTAGGTACACAGAATAAAAATTAAAAAATATATATATAATCTGATTTACTGTCTGAATCTGAACCTGATTTAATTTTTTCGTGGTTTTTGGATGTATCTTCATAAATATTATTAATTTTTGAGAAAGTATGCAGTTTTTGGGAAATTCAGCCCCTTGCTTCGGAGGAATCCTCAAAATTTAACGTACAATTCGTGGCGCGTTCAGATATTCTCTTTGAGTAATCTCTGGGAACAATAATAATTATTATTTTGACGCTATTTTTTCCTATGTATTGTACAAAACGTTTATATTGAAAATATGATATGCCTCTATGAATACCGAAATTTTTTCACACTTATGAAGTCGCCAAAAATAGGTTTTTTATTGAAAATCGCCGCCACACTCTCACAGAGACAAAAAGTCGTAATTTTCGGCAACTTGTCACCATAAATAGCGACAGTGCGCTTAGCTTAAATAGCCTAATTATCCAAGGAGGATTCTAACATATGCGCATTATATCAACAGGTTAGTGCGCAGTGAATCCGCGCATAACACTCTGTTTTACAATAACAAAATGATATTCAAATTTTAAGTACACTGAATAATTGAAAAACATCTTGCTTAGTAACAAAGATATCTGTAACGTGTGGAGGATGGGTTACCCCCACGCCACTTAGGCCTCATTAGGTCCATTGTGCATCCTCCTGAGATGAGAGGCACCTCCTAGCTCGTGAGCCAGCCTACAGATTTAATGCAGTTGACAACGTCGCCAAGAGGTGCTTCTCTTATATCGGCCGGTGTTAGAGGATACTCGCCGAACACAAATCTTCTAATAAATGAGAGCGTCGGCAATCGTAAAGTATATGCTCGATGGTCTCATCTTCTTGTTCGCACTCTCTGCAGAGTGCAGATTCTTAGAGCCCCATGATATGGAGATGCTTTCGTACTTGGCAATGACCAGTCCGAATGCCTGTGACTAGGCGCAGATTCTATCTAGTCATAGTCAAGTATTTGTTTGCTGCAGTGTTGTCACGATAACTTAAGAGCTCCCTGACAACTCTGCAGTTTCTTGTTTCATCCCATCTTTCCTTGAATTTCACAAGGGAATGTTCTTTGATTAGGTCTGTCACTACCGATTTTGTCAGGCCAATAGAAGGGCCAGGCTCAAAAAGTATTTGGTTGACTGCTTTCTTGGCTAGTGAATCAGCAAGACGGTTACCTTTCAATGTGGCTTGACCTTTAATCTATCTTTAGGTAACCACATTGTTGATGGATACTTCGGCCAAAGCTTCGTGACATTCTAATACTAACCCTGAGTAAATTTGTGGTATGTTCAGGGTGAGTAGTGCTTGTCTGCTATCTGTATAGATGAGCATGTTCCTTCCAGTGATATTGTTTCTGGTTATTTCTCTTGCTGCTATGAGAATACCCGTTAGCTCTGTTTGAACTACACTGGTACTCTTGCTCACAGCCCATTTTAAGAATCTGGAGTATAGTCCACATCCTGAGCCTTGTTTTGTTTTAGAACCGTCGATGTAGATATGAATCGTACCTGCCACTTCCGGCTCTTCTATTTGTTCTATTATAACTTTATATGGCTTATGAAATATATATCTTGGTGAGATGGAGTCTATGTTAGCTTGAAGCAGTGGTGGCGTATCGAGCACCTCCTGCCAAAAGCGACGTCTCGCCTTACCAGATCCTACATCAGGTTATATTCCAACCGTGCGGAGGCTTGTTATTGTTTTTAGAGTAACTTCCTTGATGTAAATATCAAGGGAAGTGAGACTAAGAATGACTTCCATGGCCCTGGTTGGTGTTGTTTTCATGGCTCCTGTTATCTTTAGACTTGCTGTTCTTTGAATTTGTTCTAGTTTACGGTTAGCTGTTAATTTTTGGGTTTTCGGCACCGTATATTATCATAGGTCTTATGATAGCCGTGTAAGTCCATGCGACGACTCTGGGGGAGAAACCCCAGGTGCCCACCACGGTTCGGCGTCATTGTTCTTAAGCAATGTATGCTCTTTTAACTCTGTTTTCTAAATGCGAGTTCCATGTTAACTTGCTGTCAAAGGTGAGACCTAGGTACTTCACCTCTAGTAGTAACAAAGGTAACACAAAGAATGTATTGTTTCAATTGTTTCAAAATATTGTTACGCAGGTTTTTGGTATCACAATTTATTTCAACTGAACTTTAACAATAACAATGCAACTTATAACATTAACGTGTAATGTCTATCATAAAACTGAAAACTGACGTTAGGATCATCCTTATATAGCTTGCTTGACCCTAAAATTTTATGATTTATATTATCGAAAGCTTTCGAGAAATCTAATAGTATTAAGATAGAAATCTTGTCTTTATGCATGGCCCTAATTAAATCATCTATAACATCCGCTAGAGCTGTAGCACAGGTATAGCGTGACCTAAGTTTACTAGGTAATATATTGTTGTTTTTCAAAAACTCTCTCATTTGAATTTCCATTACTCTCTTTAATATTTTGGTGAAAACTGGTAAAATACTAATTGATCTTAAATCACTGTATTACAACTTGCATCTTGTCTGTATTGCGAAAATGCCAATAAAAAAATGCAAAATTTTAATTGTACTACTTAAAGTAGGGCTACAATCAAAGTCTCACTAATTTTTAAATGAAATAAAAGATTGCAGGTATCTATATTTAACGACTGAGAAATAGTTGGACAAATCCCTTTCATATAGCGCTTAAGTATCCTTCATCTTTGGAATAACCAATACTTACTAGCCTATTAGGCAGAAGTACTGAACATTCAGTTCAATAGATAACAATAATAATTAATATTTTTATTATTAGTGGTAATATAAAACTATGAAATTCGTAGAATCTTAGTAATGCTAAGGGTTAGGTAAGTAAAAACAATTGTTTAATAAACATTTATTTTTGCTAAAATAACCAAAGTTAATAATAATAATTTAAAATTACAATTCAAATAAATCAAGACGGTATATTATAAAAATAATTACAAAGTGCGAAAATAGGTCAACACATACGTTCTGTATTATAATAATAAATGCAAGGATTACACTGTAAACAATCATTGATGTCAATCGAAATGGCTATCTATAATCCCCTAATATGGAGTTTTCCAAACGAACTAAAACTTAAAATCAATATCGTTTATACCTGATAAAATAGAAGCTCCAAATTTTGAAATATCCTCTATACCTATTCTAAAATTTTTGCGAACAATTACTTTATTATTTTATAAAAAAATATACTAAACAGTATAAATACGAAAATTTCATATTGCACAAAATTGTTCTCTCTGTTTTAACTTCATCAAATTCGTTCATTTTATCGTATATTTACATTTAACTATTTTATTTACAAACTAGTACAGGGCCACACGGTTATTTTGACACAAGTTAAAAGTCAATATTTGCGATTTCATGGGTCATGGAAATATTGAAATACAATTTCTGTTAGAGTTTCCTCTCAATGTCAAGTTTATTTTTATATCAAACGAAAATAGCTTTGATCAAATTTGTTGAGTATTAATTAGAATGTTATAGAAATCTGTGGTAAATAAACCAATCAAATTAGAACTTAATTCACCTCTAAAGACCATGAAGTGCAAGTTGCTTTTAATATTGCTTAATATTCTCTTCATCTAATTCACAAATCATAAAGAAACTTTTTATTTAATGAATGTCCAACAAATGTCGAATGAAAATCCAAATGGAAATGAGAGATAGTTCACGAATTGTTACTTATGTTTTGAAAGAAAAAAGATAATATAGCAGTAAGATCCGAGTATGCATGAAGAAATAAGCAAATTTAAACCCCAATTCCACCTACAAAAATAGAGAATCCATTCCCACAACCCTAAGATAAAAACATTGACATGACATTAGGGAAGACCCTGCATACATATAAAAAGAGATTTTCTGAATTAGAAGTTGAAAAAGTCGATTTTTCCTCGTTCTAAGTCGTAATAACCTCTTTTTCTTAGTTACAAGACAGAAAAAACTATTTTTTTTTTTTAATAATAAAAAACTTTTGTGGCCCTACTAAGTTTCTGTAGAAATTAGTTTATCACTATATCACAGTTTTGTTCGCAACTAACTTTCTAGCGTACTTCATTTTCAATCTCGTTGATGGCGTCTCCCGCACTTTTTACGACGCTCTTCAAGGGCTAGCACTTCGTTAAGACTGTCATGTCGGTGCTGACAGTGTTGCAAAGTTGGTAGTCGGCGCCCGTCACTAGATCGGGCTTAGATTTTTGTACTTTCTGCGAGCTTTTTTTGAACGAAGTTTTTTTTAATTGTCCCATGTTGTCGGCGCTTGATTCGAGACACCACAGAATGTCCTTGAACTCTTTCCAGAAGTTTTCGTTTAAGCAGCCGTAGAGGATCGGATTGGAGCAGGCCGATGACATGCCCATCATGTGACATACGGCGTAGCAGATCTGTAACAAATTTAAGAGTGTAGATATTGAGAAGAAAGGGAATGGAATTAAATTGATAATAAATTTTAATAATTCGGAATTTCTAATCTCCATAGTACACGAAAACTAGGAAATAAATCTTTTTCCATTAAAACGTAAAAAATGTTTTATACAAAACTTAGCAATATTTTTCACAATTTATCTTACAAGATCACTACGCTACGATGATAAATATAAAAAGTAGAGGGCACCAAATTTTAAAAAATATTTTCGACTTATAAATACTTTTAGCCTAAAAAATTGGGTGGCGCATTAGAAACAGTCCACCTCAAATATTATTGGCGGGGGAGATTTTTTGCAACAAACCCCGAGACACGTCAATTTTATTATTGAGGGGGACAACTTTTAATCCTTAACTTATGGTTGTACAGTCATCATTTTGTGTCCCCACTGATGCTCAAAACAATTACACAAAAGTCATATTTATATTTGGCACCCAAATTTTACAATATGATACCAGAACACATTAAAGACATAAAAAATACAACCCATTTTAAAACAAAATTGAAAGAGTTTATTCTTGAAAATGCTTGAAGCCTGATTCAAAATCACTTCGTAAATTAGGAGTTTGAAATTACCACTTCGTTACTTCTAATAATATAAATAAAATAAAAAAAAAATTAAAAAAAAAAACTAAATTTAATTAACTTTATAAATAAGTTTATTTTAAATTCGAATGTTCTTTCTGTAATTTTAATTTAGTTTTAGTTATTAGTTAAGCATCTCTTTTTAGTTATTGTTTTATTTCGAAACAAGCGTTCACTCGCTTATCGAGTAATTTATTTATTTTTCTACGAACTCTTACAAAAAGACATCTTTCGCTACAGGATACTTTCAGCGAAAACTTGATTTCCGTCCTAGTGAGAAAAAATCTCATAACGTTTACTTTCGTCTCTAGTGACGAAAGTAAGTTGTTACATATTTTCATATATCAGTCGCCTCGTATAATATTTTGGCAGCTTATAATTATTAATAATGAAATAAAAAGATGCTCATTAAATTCTATATTCGTTTTTACCTAAACTTTAATGAATTAAAGATAAAATAAAAATGTATAAAAATAGTGCAAATTATAAACCAATCTACATCTAGTTTCCTGGTTTTCATTTGTTTATTTGAAGTTTTATCACTTTTGAGAACTGTCAGTTTCAGTTCGTCCTAAATTTAACACATTTTCATGATGTCTGAGTCAGAAAGCGATTGTACTCCCCCAAAAATTATTTTTAAAGCTGAAGAAACCTCTTCAGGTTTATTACCGGCCAAATCAAAAAAGAGATATGAATAAATTTTTATCAAATTTTTGGACTGGAGAGAAAAAAATAAAGTGAAATCATTTTCGGAAACTGTACTACTAGCATACTTTGGAGGAATATGTTCAAATTTTAAACCGTCGACATTATGGTCCATTTATTCGATGCTAAGAACTACACTCTCTGTTAAAAATGATGTCGATATTAGTAAATATCCAAAGTTACGTTCGCTTTTGAAAAGAAAATCTGTGGTTTTAAAAGCTAAAAATCCAAAATTTTTTCGCCTGAAGACATAAAGACTTTCCTAAAGAATGCACCTGACTATAAATATTTAATAACAAAGGTAACGGAATTATTATTTTTATTTTAACAAATACATAACTACTTATATTTGTAGGTAGCATTAGTTTTTGGATTATCTGGCGCTTGTCGTTGCCACGAACTAAAAGATTTAACAATAAGCGATGTAAAGGATACTGGAAGTATTCTGTTAGTTAAAATCCGTTATACAAAAACAAAAGTTCCGCGTTCTTTTCATATTTCTGGACCCTTTTATGATATTTCTAAAAAATATATGAGCCTACGTCCCGCAAACATGGATCAAATTAATTCAAGATTCTTTATTAACTATCAGAATGGAAAGTGTAGCAGACAGGTTGTTGGAATTAATAAAATCAGTAAATTTCCTAACGAAATTGCTCAGTTTTTAACGCTTCCGAATCCTCAAGATTACACTGGGCACTGTTTCCGCAGAACATTTAACAGTATAACAAATATGTCGGCATCTACTTCAATAAATAAAAAGCTTGAGTGTGATACCCCCATAATTTTAAACAATTGTTCAAATATAACAATAAATCAATATTTAAATAATAAATAATATTTCTGAAATATTTAATTGTTGGTTAATTTTTTGTTATTCCTAACACAAAATAAAGCATTTGCTAACGTTTGTTTTTTTTCATTTTAGTAGGTACCTACATGACATAATAGAGTTCGTAGAAAAAGTATAGTGTTTTACTCGTCGAAAATCATTTTTCGTCACTCGTGAAACAATATACTATTATACAATTTTATATATATTTTTTTAAATCTGTGTAGGTATTTAAACCTTTTTTTTTGTTGTTTATAATATTAGTTAAATATGACAAGCTGCGTTTATATCCTACTTATTATTGTATTTTTTGTATGAATAAATATTATTATTATTATCATCCTAAAAGGGGTGGTTACCCCTTCGAGAATATTTAACGACATGGAGAGTTAAGTGGCACATCATTTAAAAGGTATTTCGATTCTCTTTACAGACATGCTAACATTTTTTTGTTAAATGTTAAAATTGATGCCAAAAACCAGTTTAAAATGCACGTTAAGGACGGGGTCTCCCAGCTGTAGACCAAAAGTTAAATCGACCGATTAAATAATTAAATTAAATAATAAATCCACCACTTGGTAATTAAATCACAACGATTAATTAAATAATTATCAGACTGAGTAAAATGTGCTTTTAGCTGGAATGAATCCTAGAAAAACCTAGACGATATTTTAGCACATGCTACAATCAATTCCAAGCAAAAACTGGGCCAGGAAGGAAGTTTTACAAAATGGCAACAAAATTCAATGTCTTACAAAGTCCCTGACTACCAAAGATTAATAGAATAATTTCTGGTAAGACTGTGGTCACTATTTACAAATTTAGAAGAATTTTACAATTAAAGGGAGTCAAATTAGACATGAAAACAATAACAAACCAAATTTAAAGTTGTTTAATATTTAAAAGATCTGTAGCCATTACTCGAAGTATAAATTATCATTTATTAAATGCACTAAATACTATTGATAATAATGCAAAATACTGTTTGATCAAAATGGATATTTTATGGATTTATACTCTGGATTTATATACCCGTGCAATCTTAAATCTATAAATATACTTTGATGTGAATAGATTCGCATAGGTTATACTAGCATAGCTATAGAATAGGCTATACTAGTAACTAGGGTAGATTAGAGTAAGTCAAAACAGATTAAGGATAAAATAATGTACATAGGGTAGGATATAATTTAGAGTAGGGAAGGATGGTGTATATAGTTAAGAGTAGAATAATTTAGGGTAGTGTAGTAATAGTAATAGAATAGATTAGACTAGTTTAGGATAGGATAGAGTAGTACAAGGTGGTTTATTCTAGGGTAGTAGACCCACCAGACGGAAAATGATTTATTTGTCTGTAAAAAAGTCATTAGCTCTCCAAAACGTCTATAGTTGTAGTGAATCAAAAATAAACAGCACTCAGAAATAGATGTAGTATACTGAGAGAAAAAAGTAGTTTATATTTAAACTATTGTAAGTTAGGAAGAAATTCTTTAAATATTAACTGAGGAAATTTATTAATACCATAATATTATAATTATTAATAAATATCTCACAAATACGAGTTTTTTTTAACAAAACATTTGTTTACAGGCCGGAGAGGCTAGCTGCGAGCTTAGTCTGCATCCACATACTCGCAACAGTTAAGCAGTGATTCTCCGGTCACGTTGTAGATGGGTGACCGCTGGGAGGTTCCACCATGGGCCGTGTCACTATGGGACTCATCCGACTAGCGGTTAACCACCGACGACGTGGAATGAATCACGATGAATCAGGGAGTGAATTGTTGAATGAGAAAGTAGTAGGATCTTCAAATGGTGGTACAATAAGCCGCAGGCTGCAGTGCCGCCAGGCTAAAGAAGGATTAGGGTGTAGCACGGAAGATCCGAAGGGTGTAAAAAAAAATAACTATTATGTTTATCTAAACATTATAAATTTCTTAATATTAAAATACAACACTTTAAATATAACAATTGTGCTTTCGCGCTCTACGAAATAAATAAATTTTAATATACAGCTATGATAAGTTAACTATTAGTGAATATATTTTTAATAATACCCAGAATCAACGTCCCCTTAATGCGCCGATCTCAACGTTGCCATTCACGTTTTGCTATTGCGCTATGCGCTATCATAGGAAATGTAAACAATTCAAGATACCTGTTAGGTACGTACCATTTTGCAATATTTTTTCTGTTTATCGTTAACATAAAACTAGCGTAAATTAGTTTAAAAGTTGTTTGCTGTATTATTAGTGGCCTATAACTAATTATTGTATTATAAATTTGCATTTTTTTTAAGTGCAGTATGCAGTCCCAGTGGGTAGGTAATTTGAGTTTCACAAATTAGCAACATGGAACACCATGGTTTGTAATTGCCATTTTGTTAGGCACGTTCTTGTCTGGTTACAGTTTGCAGTGCAGAATCGTTCTTTTTGTGAGTGACGCCGACATTAACAGCTAAGTTTATTAAAAGTTTACAGTGATTTTTTATCCTAGTAAGTAATCATATTTATTTATTAAATTTTAATAATAGGTACGTATTATTTTCGTGAATATTGTAATTAATTAAAGTCAAATAATAAAAAACATTCTATTCATGGGATATCTGCCATGTTTCAACTCAACTAAGTAAAGCGTCTTTTCCGAAAGCTTATTGTTTTTATAAAATAGGGTAGTTCATTTTAGTTTAGAGTAGCTTAGAATAAGATAGGGTAGTAAATAAGTTAGAAAAGTGTAAATTATGGTATTTTTGACTAGAATAGATTTATGTAGAATAAAACCCGTAACAACATGAATAAATGTAACAACCCCAATGTGGCGTTCTTTAATTAACCAAAGTACGATCTAGTCATGTAAATAACACAAATAGTAACTAACTTTTGTTACAAAGTAGGTATTTATTTATTTATTTATTTATTTATTTATTTATTTATTTATTTATTTATTTATTTATTTATTATCTATTGTTTTAGAACAAGAAAATGGTTTCGGAACGTTAGAAAGAAGATTTAATATAGGAGAAAAAATATCTGAATTCCCATTATTGAGTTTGCACTCAACATTTCTAAATAAGACACCATTAGCCATTCGTTTGAAAAATAAGAACAAAAATGTTAATGTTATAAATAACAATCAAAAACTAAAAAATATTTGTCATCAATAGATTTACAATAATTAATCGACAATAGACTGTAAGTATAGTATTTTTTTTTATAAATAATTTAGAATAATTACATTGTTTAAATTTATTTACCAGAACGTGAGAGTGCATTCGATATTAACACAACCTTTATTATCAGATTTTTAAATTTCCCGCTGCCTTGTTTGATATCGATGAAAGCGCCACATAGTGGGTCAGATGTTAACTGCGTTAAAGCTGGTCATTGTTAAGCATTGGCTTCTTATGAGCGTTTTATATCTTTATCTCCCTTATCTCTGATTGGAGATTTAGTAAATAGATAAAAATATTTACCATCATTGGCTGAGATGTAAACGATTGATTTGTGGACAGATCGGCCACCAAGTTGAAGACGTTGAGAGGTAGCCAACTGACGCAGAATATTACTGCAATTGAACCAAGAAGAAGATTTGTTCGATGAAGACGACGTCCTCGAAGCTCTCTCCGACTCTTCTGGTTATCTTCGCCACCGACGAATCCAGTAGCAAAACGGTATCGAAGTTTGTAAGATATTCTCACGTAAGCGGCCTGTAACAAACAGAAAACAACAGCTATTAATTATGTTTATTTCTAGGAACGAAGAAGATATTTAACTTAAATTTATTAAGTTTACTCTTAGAGCATATAAGACTAGAGATATCATTCAATGTATTTTGTTATGTATAAGCGGGGACATCAATTTTGGCATGAGGGGAGAGGGATAGGTACTCCATTCACAAACCTTTTTAACATTAGCAAATCTGATAAATTTGCCATTGAAGATAAAATCACCCTGTAAAAAATAATTTCTAACGCATTTTACTAGATGAGGCCCATCAAAAAATGCAAAGTAATTGTTTCCTTCTATGGCAAAGATCTATGGACTTTTTGGTTAACTGTAGATAAATCACAACTATCTCTATAGGTTCCTAACCTGAGCCTCGAATATGTGTTAAACCTTCAATAATAATAGTTTCGAGGGATTCAGCATCGACACCATTTTGGGTTAAAAATAAACTATTGGCATTTTCCATGGGGTAAATACACCTCTTATCATTAACACTAAAGCTTGTCCAACAAAAATTGGCTTTCTTTTGTTGTTTTTGAGGTCTTTGAACCCTTCAATGACATCTAATTTTTTATTATATTCGATGGTTTATAAAGTATCACGCAACTTCTGGCGTTTGTTTGTCCTTTTATATTTTACCAGGTATTTTAAAAGCAGAAACTCATAACCTTGCAAGAATTTGAGATATTAACTGAAAATAATTCGCATACCTTATCCCAGTCTGTTTATAAGATCGTTGAAGTCAAAAAGAGAAAAGTTGTAACAAATCCATGATACTATAAAAAGAAGATATATTGTGGAGATCTAAAATATCTAAAATACGTCATTCGGGAACTCGTATCATGTAATATATCTCAAAGTTGACAATAACAAAATATGATTACAGCATCATAAAATGCAGATCAATCAAAGCCGGAGAGTAACAAACCACAACGGTTCTGTTTACTTAGTTACTTTTTTAAATATTAATTATATAAGATATTTTTGAGTTTTAACCAGTACACACCGAAATAATTTTAAAAAGCATTCTCTTAATAGGTTTTAATTTTAGGTAATTAAATCAATGTTAACGGTGTCTATTACATTTTGGTGGCACATATCGAAATATAAATTGACGTTTTACATCGAACGATCATTGATAAGATACTGTTTTTTATTGCCTTGTCCCTTAGGTATAAATTTCCGAATAATATCAAGTAATGATATTTTACTTATAAAGACAGAGGGGAGCACCTTATACCACACGGATTTTTGTGGCGTAAGTGGTGTCCCACCTTGTTGGTACCTATCTGAATTTTTATTGAATACAAAAAATATGTACTATATATATGTAATAAATTAATTGTTGAATATGGCCTCCATTTTGTTCAATACATGTATGCAGACGCATTAAAAAAATTGTAAATGCATTTTGCAGCATTTCTGGGGTAATTGTAAACACATTAATTATATTATTTCTCAGTTCAGTTAAGTTTGTAGGTGTTGGATCGTAGCATCTTTCCTTAACATACCCCCATATAAAAAAATCTAGTATAGTTAAATCCGGAGAATATGGAGCCCATTCGATGGGACCAGCCCGACCTATCCATTTATCTCCAAAGCTTGAGTTCAAAGAATTCCTGGCTACAAGAGAGTAATGCGGTGGAGCACCATCTTGCTGGAAATATACAGTATTTAGTATTTCTTCTTGTTCTAGTTGAGGATAAAAGAATAGTTCTAGCATATCCGTGTAATTGTTTTCAAATACTGTTTCCTCTTGAAAGAAAAATGGTTCATAAATTTTGGTTTTGGACACACCACACCATACATTTACCTTGGGAGCATCTCTTTCAAACTCGTTGAAAGCTCTAGGATTTTCGTCACCCCAAATCCTACAATTGTGTTTGTTTACACGTCCACTTAAATGAAACATTGCTTCATCTGACATTATTAGATTTACATTTGGTTGATGTCTAAATAAAAACTCTCTTTTCAAATGCATGATTTTCAATTTTATGAAAAGTATGTACCTTATATGCTTTAAACTTGATTACTTTTAAAATTTTATGCACCTTACTCTTTGACATATGTATGGATTGGGCAATTTTTCTAATAGATATTTTATTTATGTTTCTTGCTAAAATTTCCGTTATCTGTATAACATCATTTAAAATAATATCTTGAGCGTTTTCAATTTGTCTTTTTTTTCTATCTAATGTTCCCGTTTCTTTAAACTGACTTACCCAGTTTAAAATAGAATTTCTGGTTGGCGAATTTTTTTCAAACATATTTCTAAATCTTCTTTGTGTATGTGTAATTGATCTACTTTCAATATAAAGTAAAACGCACCGGGCTTTTTCACTTTTGGTAAACATTTTTTAATACCTGCTTTCTCTTGCACTAATTAATACAAATATAGACTTCTGTCAACTCGATTTGTTTTACATAGCACCCTTGATAAATTAGTAGTATCATTTATTGACTCATTCATATTTTATCCAAAGCTGAGTAAGTTAATTTACAAAAAGAGGAATACATATTAAATAGACAAAAAAAAATAGATATAGGTACATATTGAAAACGCTTAAGACATTCTTTTAAATGATGATTTATGGATAAAGGCTTGCAAATAAACGTTACAAATACGAAAAATGTTATTCATCATAAGCCCTTAATATGAATTGGTAAAAGTAATCTTTTACGAAAATTTTAGACATTTGAGACTTTACAACCATTTTATAACATTTCCCAGAATTTTAGTCAAAACCTCTTATCAATAAATTGTCACATTATCGAATTAAAGGCTTTTTAATTGTGATATTTTACGTTTAGAAGTTATCGACATGGTTTCATAAAAAAGTAAATTTTTCCCAAAAAAATTGAATAAATGCTTACAATGAATACATTTTTGGAAAGGGAAAGAAATGGTCTTTCCGAGGATGTTAAAAATTATAGGGTGTTCTATTTAAAATAAGCTCACAATTTTGATTCAAAAAAGTTCGTTTCTTTTTCGGCACTTTCCAGAAAAAAATTACATGTGACAACAGTGTCAAGAAAAACTTGAAGTAAATGTAAAAGGTCTAGTGAAAACTACATCTCGATATCTTTTTCCGTTTTCGAGTTATAAGTTGTTAAAATGTGTCAATTTATAGATGGACACACATTTTATATATTTGTATAGAATAAAAAATTAGGTCATCTTCTTTCTTTTTTTGTTCCAAGTTAAGAAGAAGACATATTTGTACAAAAAATTATCAGATAATTACAACAGTAGACAGAAACAAAATCAAGAAAAACTTGTAAAGAAAACTAAGTATTTTTTCAACGTTTCATTCACAGATACCTAACCATTTGTTAAATACATTATAAGACTGATTTATAGATTTTATTATTTTAGTAGCTTAGTTGTTATTCTTGGGACAATGAATTATTTTAGAAAATATATACCCATTATATAAATATAATGCTTCAACCTTACTTTTTCTAATCAAATACTTTATTAAATATACTGAAATATTGCAAATTCTATATTAAAAACAAAATTATCTCATGTAATAAATATTCCCACTTCTCACCATCAAGCATTACTAAATTTAAGATCTATCCTATATGTACCCCTTATTTCGTATCTGGCCAAATTTCAATACAAGGAAGACGAGGAAGATAATATCGCCTAGCCCTCGGTACGAACAGGGGATATTGTAGTCTTTTTTAATCATTTTTATACCTGACACTACTTTACTAATTTAACAATTATGGGGCTTTATATTACGTCCACTTTTAAAAATTATTTTTTGATATTGTTAAGTAAAAGATTTACTACAACTCACCTAATCGTTTGAAGAATAAACTTTATATTTTTTTTTCTAACGAAATGGGCCATTTTTCAAAAAAATTTGCTAATCCAGGGCTAGTGCCACTTATTCTCTTTGCACATAAAAAGATTTATGGTATTATCTTTAAGATTTTGTCTTCTAGGATTTAACCAGAATTCCTATTATTCATACACATTTCTTGCTATTGTCAGTAGAGCAATCACTCTTAACAATATTTCGGAAATCAGTTTTCTTTACATTGACAGATTTTTAAATCCAATGAAAACAATACAAAGTGGAATAAAAATGGCAACTTTTAGTAAGTTTATTCTGCCATCTGTTTTAAACTAGCGAAAGCTCCAGCCGTCTCCAGCTTAAAGACACTCAAAAAGAGTCTTCACCTAGTGGTGGTCTCCTTTTGGTATCAAACAAATAAATGTATTAGTCTGTGCTCTTCTTCAAGAAATAATATAATAAAAAAATACTACTATCTAGTTATTTCTACCTAGCTATCTATGTGTATATTTAATTCAATTCTCATGCAATACCGCATGAAAAAATGTTTATTATTTTTAGAAGATCTTAATGGTGTGAGAATACCTTTATGACTACAGAAATTCTAAACCTATTTTAATGAAACGACTATTTCGTCAGTCAAAGTACGAATTTCTGGTTATTATTGGAAGGACATTCTGTATATGTTAGGTTAACTGATAAAAAAGAAACAGCTGTATCTACAAGACTTATTGAACTAATAAATAATACGCTTGAAGAACCGTAACAAACAAGTGAACGTTCTAAAATATTTGAAACAGATTTTCCCATTCAGAAACAATTTCTTCCACTCCTAATCAGATTGCTGCTCCCACTCAAACTGCGACTCCTATCCTACGATCTCATGATCTTATTTAAAAGAATACGTCACTTAGTTTACATTATCTTGCAGTGAAAAGTCCACAGATGTCATTATTACTAAATTCACTACATTTGAGGTCCATTGGATTTGATAGAAATTGTCAAAGTTGTCAACTTTACAGATAGTGCTTAAAAAATTACAGATTTAAACAAAAAAAATAAGACAAACAAATTAAATACAATATTGTTGTATAGCAATATATTATGTAGTAATAATTACAAATCTACCAGATTTTTTAAAGAGTATCTAATATAGCAGTTGAGGCAAAATT